CCTCCTTTCAAAAAATCCTTCTCCTCCTTTCTCCTTCCTTCTTCTCCTCCTTTCTCCTTCCATTCTTCTCCTCCTTTCAATCCTTCCTTCTTCTCCTCCTTTCTCCTTCCTCTTCTCCTCCTTTCTCCTTCCTTCTTCTCCTCCTTTCTCCTCCTTCTTCTTCTCCTCCTCTCCTCTCCTTCTCTCTCCCTTCTCTCTCTCTTTCTCTCTCTTTCTTTCTCTCTCTCTTCTTTTCTCTCTCCTTCTCTCTACGCTTATCCTCCTCCTCCTTCTTCCTTCCACAGTCTCTCTCCTTTTCTCTCTTCTTCTCTCTCCTTTCTTCTCTCTCTCTTTGTTCTCTCTCCCTTTCTCTCTCCTTCTTTCTCTCTCCTTTCTTCTCTCTCCTTTTCTCTTCTCTCCTTCTCTTTCCTTCCTTCTCAGCCTCCTCCTTTCTCCTTCCTTCTCCTTACCTCCTTCCTCCTCCTTCTCCTCCTCCTTTCTCTTCTTAAGCTCCTCCTCCTTCTCCTCTCTCTGCTTACCTTCCTTCTTCTCCTTCCTTCTCTCCTCCTTTCTCCTTCCTTCTCCTCCTCCTTCTCTCCTTCTCCTTCTCCTCCATTTCTCTCTTCCTTCTCTCTCCTTATCTCTTACTTCTCCTCCTCCTTTCTCCTTCTTCTCTTCTCCTCCTTTCTCCTTCCTTCTTCTCCTCCCCTCCTCTCTCTCTCCTTCCTTCTCCTCTCCCTTTCCCTCCTTCCTTCTCCTCCTTCCTCTCCTCCTCCTTTCTCCACCTCCTTCTTCTCCTCCTTCCTTCTCCTCCTCCTTTCTCCTCCTTCCTTTTCTCCTCCTCCTTCTCCTCCTCCTTTCTCTCCTCTGTTTTCTCCTTCCTTCCTCCTCCTTTCTCCTTCCTTCCTTCTCCTTCCTCCTTTCTCCTCCTCCTTCTCCTCCCTTTCTTCTTCCATCCTCCTCCTTCCTCCTCCTTCCCTTTCTTCCTCCTCCTTCTCTCCTCCTTCCTTCTCCTCCCTCCTTCCCTCCTTCTCCTCCTTCCTTCTCCTCCCTCCTTTCTCCTCCTCCTTTCTCCTCCTCCTTTCTCCTCCTCCTTCTCTCCTCCTTTTCTCCTCCTCCTTCTCCTCCTCCTTTCCCTCCTCCTTTCTCCTCCTCCTTTCTCTCCTCCTTTTCTTCCTCCTTCCTTCTCCTCCTTCCTTTCTCCTCCCTCCTTTCTCCTCCACCTTTCTCCTCCTTCCTTCTCCTCCTCCTTTCTCCTCCTCCTTTCTCCTCCTTCCTTCTCCTCCTCCTTTCTCCTCCTCCTTTCCCTTCTTCCTCCTCCTCCTTCTTCTCCTCCTTCTTTCTCCTCCTTCCTTTCTCCTCCTCCTTTCTCCTCCTCCTTTCTCCTCCTCCTCCTTCTCCTCCTCCTTTTCCTCCTCCTCCTTCCTCCTCCTTTCTCCTCCTCCTTTCTCCTCCTCCTTTCTCCTCCCTCCTTCTCTCCTCCATCCTTTTCTCCTCCTTCCTTTCTCCTCCTCGTTCCTTCCCTCCTACCTTTCTCCTCCTTGTAGGCCTTCCCTTTCCTTCTCCTTCCTTCCTTCTTATCCTTCCTTCTCCTTCTTCCTCTTTCCCTTCTCCTCCTTCCTTCTCCTCCTTCCTTTCTCCTCCTTTCTTTCTCTCCTCCTTCCTTCCTTCCTTGTCCCTCCTTCTTCCCTTCCTTTCCCTCCTCCCTTCTTCTCCTCCTTTCTCCTCCTTCTTCTCCTCCTTTCTCCTCTCTTCCTTTCTCTTTTCCCTCCCTTCTTCTCCTCCTTTCTCCTCCCTTCTCCTCCTCCGTCTTTCTCCTCCTTCCTTCTTCCCCTCCTCCTCCTCCTCCTCCTTGCTTCTTCCTTCCTCCTCCTTTCTTCTTCCTTCCTCCCAGGCCAGCAGAAGCCCTTAGTCCCCCAGCTCTGTGTACCTTCTGCCATTCTCCTCTTATTGAGAATCTAACCCAGCGTTTCTCAACTTGGGTTCTGTTTGGGCTCATCAGAGGTGTCCTGTTGCATCCCATATTTTTCCACAGTGTCATGTGTTCCCAGGGTACAGGCCAGACAGCCACCAGCAGTGTGGAAATGCCTGACACCAATCCAGGGCGGTGTTCAGGGCAGCCCCGGCATTCAGAAGGGGGCAGATGTTTGCCCCGTCTGCACCTGCTCTGCATCCTGCCCACAGGCATGCTGCTGCAGACTTGCTGCGGTGAAGATCACAAGCTAGGAAGGACCCTGATGTGGAGGGTAGGAGTGGGGAAGGACTAAGGACTTAAGGTGGAAAGAGGGAGGCTGATAGTGGGGGGGGAGTGAGGACTTTGAAGCAAACGAAACAGGGGGACTGAGGACACTGATGTGAGTTGGGGGACAGAGCATGTCGAAGAAAAGCAGAAATTTCCAGCTCACTTACCAGTAAGTCTGCAACAAGACTGAATTGACTCTAACAGTTGATGTTTAAAAAAAAAAAAAAAAGGTTCAGGCGCACACATGTGCAAATATATGTGTAAGCTGCAGTGGCCACGTCAAGGCACCCCAGTGTACTGCAGTCCTAACGCTATGATTTTTGAGATTCTGCTAAGTTGGAGCATATATATACAGTTGTGTTCAAAATAATAGCAGTCAGACATCACTAACCGGATCAGTCACTGTTTTTGGTGGAAATGATATTTCTACATGGCAAATAATTTCCTAGCAGGTGTAGTAGAGTCATAGAAATCCAACAGACCCAACAGTCATGACATGCATGCTGCTGATTCTGTGTCATTGAATCGCTCATTGAGGGGCGTGTTCACAATAATAGCAGTGTGGAGTTCTATTAGTGAGGTCATTCATTCTTTGAGAAACAGGTGGCAATGATTGCCCTTATTTAAGGAAGGAAGGCAGCAAATGTTGGACATGCTGGTTACAGTGCATTCCTCTCTGAAATTCGGAGGAAAATGAGTCGTTCCAGACATTGTTCAGAAGAACAGCGTACCTTGATTAAAAAGTTGATTGGAGAGGGGAAAACATATGAAGAAGTGCCGAAAATGATCGGCTGCTCAGCTAAAATGATCGCAAATGCTTTAAAATGGCAACCAAAACCTGAAAGACGCGGAAGAAAGCGAAAAACTACCATTGGAATGGATAGAAGAATAGCCAACATGGGGCGGACTCAGCCAACAATCAGCTCCAGGAAGATGAAAGAAGGTGTGACGATCCCTGTGAGGACTCAGCCAACAATCAGCTCCAGGAAGATGAAAGAAGGTGTGGTGTTCCCTGTGAGTACTGGTACAATTAGAAGACGCCGATGTGAAGCCAAGCTATCTGCAAGAAGTCCCCGCAAAGTCCCACTGTTGGAAACAGACGTGTGCTGAAGAGGTTACAATCTGCCAAAGAGCACACTGACCGGCCTAAAGAGAAATGGGGCAACATTTTGTGGACTTATGAAAGTAAGATTGTTCTTTTTGGGTCTAATGGGCGGAGACAGTTTGTCAGACGACCCCCAAACACTGAATTCAAGCCACAGTACACTGTGAAGACCGTGAAGCATGGTGGTGCAAGCATCATGATACGGGGATGTTTCTCATACTACGGTGTTGGGCCTATTTATCGCATACCAGGGATCATGGATCAGTTTGAATCCATCAGAATACTTGAAGAGGTCATGCTGCCTTATGCTGAAGAGGAAATGCCCTTGAAATGGGGGTTCCAACAAGACAACGACCCCAAACACACCAGTAAACATGCAACATCTTGGTTCCAGACCAACAAGATGGACGTTATGGAGTGGCCAGCCCAATCCCCGGATCTTCATCCAATAGAAAACTTGTGGGGTGACATCAAAAATGCCGTTTCTGAGGCCAAACCAAGAAATAGAGAAGAACTGTGGAATGTGGTCCAATCATCCTGGGCTGGAATACCTGATCACAGGGGCCAGAAGTTGGGGGACTCCATGCAACACAGATGTACAGCAGTTCTCAGAAACAGTGCGACTACAACCAAATATTCATGAAGTCATTCAAAGGAAAGCAAAATCTTCAAACATTTCTCAGTTTATATAGTGAATGTTGGAGTTTGTAAAGAAACACGGCCATTTTTTTGAACCGTCTAATATTCACTTTTCTTCCATTTTTTTTTAGAGGAACAACACAAATTTGATGTACTTTTCTTCATGTTTTTATTTGGAATAGAATGTGTCGTGTTCCCAATGCATTTGTGTGGATGGAAATAAAAGGATTAGAAGGATTTTCAGCTTTAGTCACTTTTTTCAACACACTGCTATTATTTTGAACACAACGGTATATATAAAATTAATATATATTGGGCCGGTATGTTTGGAGGGAGCCCGGTGGCATACCGGCACAATGGCAGCCGAAGGTGTCCAGTGTGTCCACGCACCAATTCAGCAACTATATGAACAAATGCCAACCACGCCTAGATATAACTAGTGTTTGCTGCAAGGGCTAGATATAGGTTGGGGTGGTGGCCACTTGTTTGTTTAGGAGGGCAGAACACTCCGCTGTGAACAGGGGACTGAGATTTCTGATGTGGAAAGAGAACTGAGAACCTATAAGATAGGTGGATGACTGAAGACTTTGTTGTGAAAAGGGGGGCACTGAGGACTCTGATGTGAACAGGAGGGGACTGAGAATTCTGATGTGGAAAGAGGGGGAACTGAGGACTCTGAAGTCAAAGGGGGACTGAGGGACTCTGAAGTGGAAGAGTGGGCTTCTGATCTGATAGAGCGAAACCTAATTTATAAAGGGATGTCTTGCAGTATTTAAGGCCCCTTTCACACGGGGCTGACCCGTCAGCGGATCTACTCGTTCAGCGGGAGATCTGTCTGCTGCAGGGGCGGACTGACCATTTGGAAACTCGGGCACTGCTTGAGGGCCCGGTGTCAGTAGGGGGCCCCATGAGATGCCCCTGGTACCTCTTTCATAGGCTTTTTTTAGTTTGGGCAAGGACACAGGGGCCCCATGATCCCCTATTGCCTGGGGGCCCCATGAGTTGTCAGTCTGCCTCTGGTCTGCTGATCCCCACTCCATGTACTCTAGGTCCGTGTACGCTGTGCTTATGCAGAGTGGACATGGATACAGCCCGCTGTCCTCTGACAGTCTGCCCGTTTCCATCCGACTGCCATCCGATCTGATCCAACAGACAGGAGGGGAACGGATCCCCATCCATTTATTTTCGGCGAATCGAATTGGGTGTCAGCTGGTATAAACAGACACATGTCCGCTTTACACCCACCGCTCCATAGAGAAGAATGGAGATTCCGATGATCGGGTCTGCCTGAAAAATGGGCAGGTGGACCTAATCGGAACATCCCAGTGAAAGGGGCCTTATACCTTTTTTAAGGGGTGCCGTGACTGAAAAAGGTTTGGGAATCCATGATCTAACCAGAGCTCCAGGAATGACTGGACCTGTATGAGAAGTCTGAGGTTTCATGATTGGCCCTGGTTGTGTCTCTTCTTACATTGGTTTCCATGTTCTTGTTGCCCCCAGCTACACAAGCCACGGTGGAGATGACCCTGGAGATGGCCAACGCCGGAGCAGAGGCGGTTCTTGTGGTGACTCCATGTTATTATAAAGGCAGAATGAACGGCTCGGCTCTGGTCCACCATTACACCAAGGTGATCCTACACACTGTCACACTTGAAATGAAAACTGCAGCATGCTGTATGCATAAAACAGAATAAAAAAGGAAAGGAAGTGGGATGTACAGTCCACAAGGACACACTGTAAGAAAAAAAAAAAAATGTAAATTTACATTTTTGTAGTCATACACCGTTTCAGACTACATGGTCGTGAGAGTTTGACATTAGTAGGGATGACCGGAATCTGTACCGACCTGCATATAAGAAAGGATACATCAATTTATTGACAAAATAAGAAATCCGTAATACTCATCACATGTCTTTCAGAGTGCACTGTGTCTGTTATGAATTTAATGATGTGCATTTGTGAATATGACCATTAAAGGGTAACACCACTTTTTTTGGGGTGGGGGAAAGAAAAGTGGTGCCTTTGACCCTAAGAACATCATCCCTACAGTCAAGCATGGAGGTGGGAACATTATGCTTTGGGGCTGTTTCTCTGCTAAAGGTAGAGGCCAACTTTGCTCCATTGAGGGGCCAATGGAGAGGTCCATGTATTGTAAAATCTTGGATGAGAACCTTCTTCCCTCAGCCTAAACATTCGTGGATGGGTCTTCCAGCATGACAATGACCCAAAACATACCACCAAGGCAACCAAGGAGTGGCTCCAGAAGAAGCACATGAAGGTCCTGGAGTGGCCTAGCCAGTCTCCAGACCTTCATCCTATAGAACATTTATGGAGGGAGCTGAAACTTTGAGTTGCCAAGCGACAGCCAAGAAAACTTAAGAATTTAAAGAAGAGTGAACCAAAATCCCTCCTGAGATGTGTGCAAACCTGGCAACCAACTACAAGGAACGTCTTACCTCTGTGCTCACCAACAAGGGTTCCTCCACCAACTACCAAGTCATGTTTTGCTTGGGGATCAAATACTTATTTTACTTTCTGAACTGCAACTCCATTTATAACATTTGTATTGTGTGGCTTTTTTTTTCTGCATTTTTGGTTGATATTCTGTCTCTATCATTTAAAATACACCCATGATAAAAAATTATAGACCCTTCATTGCTTTGTAAGTGGGCAGTGGGATAAGATCATTATTTTCATGTGTGTGTAATACAATTGCAACTCAGGTCATATTTTAATTAAATGCTTAAGTGGAGCTCCACCCAAAAGGGGAAGTTCCTCTTTAAGGACTGGTCCCCTGCTTCCCCAATAAGGATTGGCACCTTTGGGGAGCAGGGGGGAGTGGGTACCCAAAATTGACAAGGCTCCCACTTCTGTTGCGATCACCTAGGCCAGTGGTCGGCAAGCTGCGGCTCGCAAGCCACATGCGGCTCTTTACACGCTTTAATGCGGCTCTTGTGTGCCGGGCGCCCGCTCCCCTCCCTCCTCTCGGGCGGCAGGGACTCTGCAGCGTGATCCAAAAAAAAAACAGCCAGGGCAGCGCGCTCAAATGCAATGATTGGCCAGTCTCGCTGCCACTCACATCCTGATAGCCAGTGATTGGCTGTCAGGATGTGTGTAGGCGGGGCAGCGTGACGAACGTGAGAGGAGCTAGGCTCCTCTCACAGTCCGCCCTGAAGACCGGAACGGCGCGGGAACACGACAAGAGGAACGCGCGGAGCAAAGATAAGTGAATTGACACAGGGGGGACTTGGCTTACTACTTGCTACTTACTTACTACTACTATATGAGGGATGAATTACTATAGGGGGGATGATGAATTACTATAGGGGGGATGAATTACTATATGGGGGATGAATTACTATATGGGGGATGAATTACTATGGGGGATGAATTACTATATGGGGGATGAATTACTATAGGGGGGATGAATTACTATAGGGGGGATGAATTACTATAGGGGGGATGAATTACTATATGGGGGTTGAATTACTATATGGGGGATGAATTACTATATGAGGGATGAATTACTATAGGGGGGATGAATTACTATAGGGGGGATGAATTACTATATGGGGGATGAATTACTATATGGGGGATGAATTACTATAGGGGGGATGAATTACTATAGGGGGGATGAATTACTATGGGGGATGAATTACTATGGGGGGGATGAATTACTATGGGGGATGAATTACTATAAAAACTTATTGAAACTAAAAACAGTGTACCATCCTATGTATTTTCAGTTTTAAAAATGTGGCTCTCAAAATAAATTTCAATCGTGGTTTTGGCGAGATTTGGCTCAGTTGAAAAAAAAGGTTGCCCACCACTGACCTAGGCAATCGGAAGCGGCAGTTGTACTCCCTCCCCGTAGTCTTCTAGGACACGTGACAGGTCCCAGAAGACTACGGGACCATTCACAAAGCGCAGCGCTGCTCGTGCATGCACAGTGAGTACCCGGCTGTAAAGCCGCAAGCTGTCACAGCCGGGTGCCCACACTGAAGAAGATTCCGGCGCTGGGAACACAGGGAGGCTGGTGAAACAGGCTGCGGGGGACACACCGCGGGATCGAGGGACAGGTGAATGTCTGTTTTTTAAAGGTCAGCAGCTACAGTTTTTGTAGCTGCTGACTTTTTTAAATTTTTTTTTTTTTCAATTTTCACTTTGATAAAACTTTCCTCTCCTTTTTCAATCTTCAGCCATTGTAATTTTCTATAAAATACAATATGGCAAACTGGAGGCGTTCTGTACGCATGATATACAGAACAGTCCCTGAAAATGTCATATTCTGTAATTGGCTTGTGTGATTGGCTCACCGACTTTCCCAGAAGTCGACACGAAGATACATGTTGGATTTTGGGTATCCCTTGCAACAAAAATTAAATTTTTCTCAACAAAATCGGAGTTACACTTTAAGAATGTGGTAAGGTATTAGAGGAGTGGGGAGGCCAATGCAAATGGGGATAAAAAGGTGTGCGTGTATGGGGGGTGGGGGAGTAGAAGGGTAGGAGTGTTTGGGGAAGAGGCGGGGGGGAAGGGGGATCAGGAAATTCTGTGCAAGGTTCCCTGGTGTATTTAGGTTTTGTGCTGCCCTAGGCAACACAAAAATCGTCTGCCCCCATGGAAAGCGACCAACACAACTCCCCCTTCCCCCTCCTGCTGAGAGAGAATGACATTGACCAACAACACCCCTGCCTCCCACCCAGGAGAGCCTTCCACTACCCCCCACTCTCCGGCAATAGAGAGACATTCATCTTCACCGCTCCGGACATCCCCGGGAACGAGAGCCAGGCTCTACATACTCCAAGCATCCTCTCTCAGATCCCACCTGTTCCCATGGTGTGCATGTCCATTCTTTCCTCCCTTCTTCTGGGGGGAGGTGCTGCCCTTCCTGAAAAATGCTGCCCTAGGCAAGTGCCTTGTTTGCCTTGCAGTAAATACGCCCCTGCCTGCAGTGGGTATATGGTGTCATAGGTGTTGTGTCAAGAAGTGGTATTCACCTAACCAGGAGAAGATAGCATGAATTGGTCATCGGTGGAGAAAGTGACGTTGGTCATATCCACAAGGACACAGCATTAAGTGCACAGAGCTCATTATTGTTGGAGATGGTGCCCTCTGATAGATATGTGATGGATATTACTCACATCATATTTTGTCAATACGTTGGGTCCAGTAGAACCATCCTTTACAACATTGTTCCCCTTTATTGCTGTCCGCGTCCTTCAATTCCTCCACCGTATGTATTTTGTTAATCTTGGCGGATCACAAGCCAACTGGTGGGGTTGTGGTTTGCTTCCAGTTTATTGGTGGTTTATGCTTGCCTTTGCTGCATTAAGTGTATAAGGAGCATCGGAGTAAATGGATGAGAAAGGCGGCCGGGTCATCCGGCATCTGTATATCTGTTAACCTGTAAGTGAATCGTTTGACCTGGTTTCAAAAATGTGAAATCTTTGGGCAAAACCAGAATATATGAAGCATAGCGCCCTCTTACCCTTCCCATCTCCAACATATTGAGGGGCATTGCGGAAAGGGTCTGTGTAACATTGTGGGGACCATGTACCACCTGGATAAGCTTTTCCTGTATGGAACTCGAGATGGGGGCCCTATGGGTCATCCCGAAGGATTCTATCTTTTTGCTGTTTGGTAAATGTTGTGTCGGGGTCTCTTTCCCATTTGGTGAGAAATTTCAAGGTGAAGGTATCAGGTGGATTGGCTACAAGATGATACGAGGCCATGTTGTATTGGTTCAGGATCTAGGCACAGGGGCATGGATTCTGAACCGAGTAATTGCGAGAGAAAGTGGTGTAGGGTTTTTTTTTTTTTCATGTTTGATTATTTAAAGGAAAATTTGAAGTAAAATTTGCTGTCGTACAGGAAATCATTAACACGTTGTTCTCCTCCAGGTTGCTGATGCCTCTCCAGTCCCCGTTATCTTGTACAGCGTGCCCGCCAATACTGGGTTGGACATTCCAGTGGATGCCATAGTTACTTTGGCTCAGCACCCAAACATCATCGGGATCAAGGACAGCGGAGGAGATGTAAGTCCCTGATTTCAGTCTTCTGCTTCATTCTTCCTCAAGTATTCAGGGAAAGGAAAAAG